TATATGTATATTTGACCGAATTTTGTTTCCTATACTTACTTGCTCCGTATCCGCATCCATCCATCGTGCAGAACTGTAGCGAATGAAACCGCAGTGTTTGTTAACGTTATCGTTTTATTGTTAAATAAACCACAAAATCTACAATAATAATAATCATATTATCATATAGAGTCTCCGTAGGAACGGAGGCGTTCGATCCTCGCTTAAAACACATCCATTGATTTATTTCTACGATTACCGATTATCGACTATTCTCTCGTGTGTGAACCGTGTAAAACTGAAAACATCCGTCAAGTGAACGGTAGCGAAGCGAACGATGTTACTTTATTATCGTGATTCGTCGATATAGAGTCGTTTAAGATTCATAGAGAACATCGTTTTTTTTTTTTTTTTTCTTTTTTTTTTTCATTTTTCCCCCTTTTTTTTTTAATAACTCGAAGTAAGTCGGTGACAATCTTCGTGAATATAGCAATATCGTATTAAGAGTTCGCTAGTCTTTTTTTCTTTTACATTCTGTTTTTTTTTTTCTTTTTTTTTCTCTTTAATATCGCGTATAATGTGTTGCTGTGTTTATTAATTATCTATACATACATATGCATATTCATATATATGCGCTCTGTTATATTATACATTACATACATGTATATGTACATACATGTATGTACATACTTCGATTTTCCCCCCTCCCCTCNTGTGTTCACACGCGTCAGGCACTCCATTTCGCTCGCACACAGCTGCACGTTCGTTTCTTCTCTTTTCGTATCACGATCTTTTTGGGATCGATGTATTTTCTTAATTTTTTTTTTTTTTTTTTTTTCCCCTTTTTTTTTCATAACTAACTTCTCGTTACTCTCTTTCTTTTTGTCTTTCTTTTCGTTTTTTGCGAATCTCACGCCATTCACATTTAATACATTCACAGATTCTTCTTTTTCCTTTTTTTTTTTTTTTTGTTCACAGATTATCTATATGTATATTAACATAATTTTCCCTAGTATAATCGCGAGTAACGATAACCCTCTCGGTATGGCATTTTTATGGTTGTCAGAGGTGTGAACGAGATGTTTTCGAGATGATTAATAGTGCGTTATGGACGTTTTGTTGCTTATTTTACAGAATACGTGTAATAAAAATGAGGTTGTGGTACAAGTTCACTGAGACTTAGCTTTAGATTCGGATCGACGAACGGGTATGCTCACCATGGTTGCCGGCTATAGTCGGCAAGCGAATATAAAAGCGTACCGATTTGCCGACTATAGTCGTCCACTATAGACGTATAATATTTTCGAGTAAAGCACGAAAGATTGATTATAGTCAACAAACTCCTAAATATTACACTTTTTTTTTACCGCTGATTATATTCGACTTGTAGCTTAAGTAAGCGTATAATGACGGTCGACTATAATCGACTTGAAGTAACGAAAATACGTTAACCAGGGCCATAGGAGGCGATCGATTATAGCCGACGAGTTAACTTAGGTGAAAGACTTTAGTTCCGGACTATAATCGTCACGGCGAACATATACAGATTATAGGGATCGCGCGAAATATCAGGCACGAGCCTACTATAGCCTGTACGCGTTCTGTTACTCGACACGATAACATGTTTCAAGGGGGGGGGGTATGTGATCGTATATAGTCGACGTATATAGACTCAAAGGAGCATACTATGATCAGTGAAAAGATCCACGAGACCGTCAATTATATTAAAAATCCATGAAGCACTCGACTATCCGTGACTATACTTGGTTCGCAGACTTGTTATACATGGCCATACCGGAAGGGGTTAAACACTCATTCCATAGGCGAATGTGTATCTCTAAACGTGGACGCCGTTACATGACTATAATCTCTCCGGGCTGCGAACGACCGTGTATAGTCACCCCCGTTCCTCTTCCTCCCCTCTTTCACGCGCAAAGTCCTTTCCGCTCCTAAGAATCTTCATTCTTTTTTTTTTTTTTTTTTTTTTTTTCCCCCGACTTTGGCGCAAGCGTGTTGCAGAGAGCGGATAGATAATAATAGGAGGAAGAGGATCGTGTTAAAAACGGATCGGCTATCAGCAATCATCCGAACGGAACTCGATTCCGATTTCGATAATACCAATCGAGAAATCATGGCTGATCTCATTCGGAAAAGCGAATAATGGCCAATTCTCGAGTATTTATGGGACTCGAATTATCGTTCGACAGAGATGTAAAAAGAAAAGAAAGAACAACGCGGACGATTCACGCTGAGAACGCGGCATTCCACGTTAAGGAACGTTTCTTTTTTTCTTTTTTCCTTTTTTTTTCTTTTTTCTTTTTTCTTTTTTTTTTTTTTTTCCTTTTTTTTTCTTTTGTGTTTTTTCTTTTTTCTGTTTTCTTTTTTTTTGTTTTTTCTGTTTTTTTTTTTTTTTTTTTTTTTTTTTTTTTTTTTTTTTTTCCGTGGAACGAGCCAAATCAACGATCGATTCTGTCGGATAAATTGGCGAGGGGATATACATGTGTCATGTATACTTCTGAAGAGGATGTCCTATAATCATAGCCTTGTAATAAATGAGTCGTTCAAGCGTTATAGATATCATGAAAGAGACAAAGAGATAGCACGTACGTTTTTCTTTTTTTCGATTATATGTCGGCTATACATATCGTATCGTAGAAACGAGAGATATTAGCGTACGTTACAACTGATATTGCCAAAATATCACCACTCCATCTCTCGAAATCGAAAAATCTCTCTAACCTCCGAAAATAGTGGTACAAGTGTTCTTAAATATCGATCGTCTACTAGTTATGGTTTCTTTTTTTTTTTTTTTTGTTATTCTTCGCGACAAGTTTCTCCTTGTCATTGTTTTTTTCTTTTTTTCTCTTTTTTTTATCTTATGCACAGGTAATACGCGTGAAAGTAATACGCTCACTACGGATAGAATCGCTATTGTGGTGCAAAAGTAAAAAGCTTATAAAAATTCGATCGTGTATGTATGCATGTATGTATGTATGTATGTATGTATGTATGTAAGATCCGCCTCTAAAAATTCTGCTCTAAAAAAATCTCCAAGACTCGATCTAACATTCAGCTTTTTCCCCTTCGACTAATCGTCGAAAGATCGTATTGGATATTAACCCTTGATTGGTATCGTTGAATTTTTTTTAAGCGACATTGCTTACACATTTTCGATCATCTATCGAATCATAATAATATATTTCTTCGTATATTTACGCTATATAAATGCTATCTGTGGTGGCACTTATCATCCTTATTAAGCGAAATTACGGAACAAAAAGTTGGAAAGCGAAAGAAATGCACGAGACTCGCCGATCATCGAATGATACCAATCGAGCGTTAAATGGCGTAAAAAGGATATATTGTTCAGTTTCATCCATTCGTTTCTATTATTTACACGCATAAAATATTTCGCGATCGAGATCGATAAAGGGGTGCGCGCTGATCAAATCATCACCACCACTACTACTACCGAATCAATTATATTGACGCATTGTCACGCCAGTGTATCGACAGTGTATCTACAGTGTATCGAAGATGAGCTATACATGGTACAACATTTAGAATTATCACCGATCGAATATAAGAATCTGATCTTATAAGGATTATTCACGAATGAAAGGTGTCTTTTAACAAACGTAAGAAAGACACGGTAAGAAAATCGGAATAGGATTACAAAGAGATTACTTATACACTGAGCCTGTGTGACACGTGAAGTTTAATACGAAATTTTATTATTGCGTCCTTCGGATTTTACATGCGAAAAAAAATTACTCGTGACAAGAAAGGAGTTACAATTTTTTTTTTTTTTTTATCTAACGATTGTCTCGAACCAATCAATCAGAAACAAATAATCAGTTTATTCATCGACGAATTTCGTATTAATTGATCACTATTATAACTTAAAAATATATTTGTCCTTAAAAATACCGTATACGATATTTGCATATACGATATTTATATACCGCAACGAAACGAACTTACTTTTTTTTTTTTTTTCTTCTTCTTCTTAGTTTAGATCGATTATTCGCCATTTTTAGAATGTGTACGACACGAAAAACAGGAAAAAATTAAAAAAATGATATCGTAACGATAATTCAACAATTCATCGTGATTGAAACGTTTTCCGTTCATCATGCGTACAACGTTGGAAATATACAGTGCTTGCTACATTATTTTAGCCACGATCGTTCAAAACGTGTATATATTCCGATTGAATTTTCGAATTTCTTTCTAACGAATGATACATCTGAATGAATACATTTCAGAATTAATGTGGGGGGGGGGGGAAAAAAAAAAGAAAAAAAGAAAAAAAAAAAAGAATAACCTTCACAAACAGAAATAAAGTTAATGAAACATCATGGATAATCGTGATATAATGACTCTTAAAGAGATCTTTAATTTTTCTTGCATGATAAAATTATTATCGTTCTTGCTCTACAAAGATACTCGACAGGAATATATTTTACGATCTGTAGCTTCGTACCGAAGCGTCGAATCGAACGGAAAATAAATGATTTGCGATTGAATTAACGATCGAAAGCCATTGCTAATTTCCTTTGATCGATACACAGCTAATTAAATATACTTATAAATATATTCCTCTCGAGAAATATTTTTTTTTTCTCTCCTTCTCTCTTCTTCCCTCCTTTCCTCCCTCTCTCTCTTTCTCCACATATATACATATGCACATCACACACTCATACATATATGCATATATATATATAATATATAATATATAATATATAATATATATATATATATACACATATTAAATTACTTTATTAACGTTTTTTTTTCTCTTTACACAATTATTACAATTTATTATTTACTAGATGATTCGAAACGGTGCGACATGATGATAGTAATAATAAGAAGACAAAGAAAAGAACTGGTGATTTTTATGTGGTAACGGTAGTGAGAATTTCAGGCAATCGATGACAATAGTTGTTCGTATAGTCAATCACTCTTTTTTTTTCTTCCCTTTCTCTCCATCTAATTCTTCTTATTTTTCACTTTCTCTTTCTCTTTCACACCCTCATTTACTTCCTTTCTCTCTTTTTCCTACTTCCTCTTTTTTTTTTTTTTTTACAATAAAGTTAATCATTAATCGCTATTGTTAAAAATTAATTCGTATATTTGTATAAATATATACACATATATACGTAATTTAATAACACATATTACGCGTATATGTTTATATAAGTCACATATATAATAAGTATTTTTATATAGTATGAACTTTTAATATTTTTTATAGTTTTCTTCTTCGTATCGTTACTTATTTACATTTTGTAAATGTCTGTGTCTGTAATGTCTATGCTTGGCGTACTTTTTTTGTAATAGAGTAAAATCTAAACCAAAGGATAAAACAAAATAAGAAAATATCGGAATTGATTTACATTGTTAAAATTCCAATTTATCTTTTATACATGTAGATTTGATCCCTTTAATCATACGACGATTCGTCTTGTTTTTTTTACTTTTTTCTTCTTCTTTTTTTTTCTAGACTATATAACTTAATTTTATTTCAAGTTCACGCTGAAATGATATTCAAAGTACGCAAAATTACAAAAAAAAAAAAAAAAAAGAAAGATTGAATTAGAACTAAATCGATATAAATTTTTCTTTATTAATAGAATAATCTCGACAATTAACCAACAATTTACTCTTTAAGAAGTGCAAGATTTCTTCGTATTTGTTTTTTAAGTTATCCCTTCTTCTCCCCTTCTTCCCCATATAACATAATTTGCGTTGCTTTTTGCGGCTGCTAATCATTATTCTTTCGTCCGTCTAAAATTTAAAAATAATAATTTCCCTTTTCTCAGATTTTTCCAACACTCGCCAAATATTGCCAATTTTTTTTTTTTTTCTTTCTTTCTTTTTTTTTTTTCTTATATCCAGAAGATATCAATTGACAAAGGGAATTTAAATACATCAATCTTACTAGGTATTGTTCAAGCATATCAATAATTTCATAGGATATGCTTAGAACTTGCCGGATGTATCACGGCAAATGAAAGACAAGATGGTTTCATTAAGCAGAATGTTTAAATAATGATACATTAAAGTTTTAATAAGTAATTTTTCTTTTTTTTTTTTTTCTCTTTTTTCTTTTCTTTTCGACAAAGATCAAAATTAGGATAGAAATAAATCGAAAGAAATAAATTATTAATATAATTCTAAATTCTATAATTCTATAATTCTAATTGAATAAAAAGATGATCAATATTTTTACATCGATAAAATTATTGATTTATGCTTAAAGAAATGTCGGAAAAAATACCGTTATCGATAAAAATTCCATGATCGATGTATATCTCGACGAATATTCAGATTCGTTTCTTTTTTTGTTTTTAATTCGATAAGGGAAAATATCATTGTACGATTGTCAAAACGTAAAGATTAGTTTTCTTCGGTATTAAAAATGTATTTCCGTTTTGCGTGTTCGGATTAGAAAACAAAAGTGTTCGATAAATTTATCTGATTGTTCATATAGCAATGAGAAGCAATGAATTACAATTTAAATAATTGAAGAAAAAAAAAAAATTAATCGTAATTTAAAAACGTATCGTAATTACAACGCGGATAAAAATTTTGAAACGAAATATCTTAGCATATCTCTTTCTCTCTCATTTTCGCTCACTTACTACTTTCATTCTGTCCCCCCTTCTGTCACACTCCCTTTCACTTTTTCCGTTATTGATCTATCATCTGTCTTCCATTTTGTTCTTTCTCCCTCATTTTTCCTATTTTCTTAATCGAGTCCTTCTGTCCTTTCTCTAAAAAAGAAGGGAACTGAAATAAATCATTCGGTATTGACTTTTATCGATAGCCTCCTTTTTTTTTTTTTTTTTTTTTTTTTTTTTTTTTTTTTTT